AGGCCGCCACACAATGGGTGATTTCAAGTCACATTTGAGCTCTGTGCTCTGACAACACACCCAGATGTATCCTAAGAACGAGGAAATGGATTTTTATTTACTGTGTGTGTGTGTGTGTGTGTGAATACACACACATTTTTTAAAAAATTTATTTATCTTCAAGGTCTCGCTATAAAGCCTGGGCTGGCCTGGAACTCTCAGAGATCCCACCTGCCTCCTGAATGCTGGGATTAATGGTGAGCGTCACCGCCACCACCACTGCCACCACCACGGGCTCAGAGGCTGCATTTAATAAGACCCCAAGTGCTACTGTGGACCTCGAGTTCTCAGAAGCCCCTGGATAGTACCACATGACAACAGGTCTCAATGACCCTGGCCACAGCCGCCTGAGGCTCATGGCTTCTCTCTGATGTGCTGTCCCTGGCAGAAACCCCGCGAGCAAAGAGGTGGACAAAGGGTGGCCTACATCACTTTGTCCTTTTCTACTTTATTACTTCAAATTAACAACCACAATAAAGCTCAAAAAAGTCCAATATTTACACAGGAAAAAGTACAAAATTCCCCCCAAAGTTCTTCAGTAATTTTTTTTCAGTTTTTTAAATTACAAAGTAATAAAAAGTTTTGCTCTTAATTAAAAAAAAAGAAAGGGAAAAAGAGGTAAATAAATTAGGAAATACACACACCGAGAAAACAAACAAAGATAAAATAAAGTTAAAAACCAGGTGTTAACCAGGAAGGGTAAATTCAACACTTAACCCTGACCCAGGGTCCTACTCAGAAGTCAGGCCTGGGAAGAGGGGTGACCACAGGTGACTGTCAGGACCAGGGGACTAACTGGTAAGTCAGAGCCGAAGCCATTTGGGAGCAGACTCCGTGAACTTGCCCTAAGATCAGATATGGAAGATGGGGCTGCCACGCACTGGCATCCGGGGACAGGTGGTGGCAAGGACTCTATGCCCTGAGGGATGTGGAGGTCATTGTCCACCCCACCTTGACTTCAGGGGGACGAGAACAGAAACTTGGCTAGGTAGGCGTGGCAGCCCACCTGCTGCTCTGGAAAAGACAAGTCACACACACACTCACACACACACACACTCACACATGCACAAGGCATCATGGCCCACCACCTCACCGCCCTCTCAAGATCTCTGCAGAGAAGTGATGGGAGGGGGAGATGGAGGGGGACCAGGATATTTAGGGGGACTCTGGGAAAGCCCAATACGAAGCTGGCCATTGTCACCGCCAAGGGACTGCAGCTGTGCATGTCTCCTTGAATCCGAGGCTCATGAAATCTCAAGGGTCTTTGACCGGCCAAATCACTCCCTGATGCAAATTCTTCAGGCACCTCCAATGGCTGCCCGGCACGTGCTGGGTGGTGGTGGGAACAGGTGGCTGGAGTATGACCCGATGTCATTATTGGAGTGTTGGCAGCCTTTGGGTTGGGAGCAGCGGGCAAGGCGAGGGGGACAGGAATCCTCAGTGATAGGACATCTTGTCTTTTTGCCATTGGAAAAATAAATCAAAGAAACAAAATCCGTTGTCGACTTTGTGCTGGGTTGTGTGTTGTTTTCTCCTTTCTGTTCATTTGAGTGACTGGTTCGTTCTGTCCTTTGTTTCATTTTGTTTCTAAGAAGATGCAGTGAAGACACGAGAAAGGTTACCGAGACGACAGGTCAGTGGCCTGGCTGCCTCAGTCTACCCAGCCACCAGATTCCCCTCCTTGTCCCTCTTGGAGCCCAGAGTCTGGTTTCGGACCCAGCACACAGTGCGCCACAGTCCCAAAGAGGGCACCACCATGCTCCTCTGTCCTGGTGGGATGAACAGTCATCCCAGCTACCTCACGGCCTGAGCAGACTAGCTGTGGGGGAATTTCTGCAGAGTAAACTGTTTGAGCTACTGCCTGGGAGCCCAGTCAATATGGACCAGAAGAGCCTGTGGCCCTTTCCCCCAAACCAGGCTAAAGGGTGTTTTACTACTTCCTCCAAAGCCTCAGACAGTTCAACTCCAACTCACCTTGGCCAGACGGCCTTCGCTGGGTATAAAAGCACCAAGGCTCGTTCTGCATCCTGGCCCCTTTTTAGCGTTGCACAAATTAGCTTATGTAACAGCCAAAAGGCAGAAATAGGCTAAAGCCTTGGACACCCACGTGTGGCCGATACCCTGGTCTCTCCTAGGCACCAGGAGGAAAGAAGAACCAAGGGTTGAGAAAGGTTTTCCCAGTGGTGCTAGCGTGTACAGATTCAAGTTCGTCTGTAAGAAGCCACAGCCTGGATGGCAGGAAGGGGAGGTCCACAGTGCCGCTTCTACTTCATGTACTACCTGTCTTCCTCCCGCTAGGGACCCCAGCACTCACCTAAGCAAACACTGGTCCGTGGCGGCTCTCCTCATTTCCCAAGATGGTCAAATGGCACGCTTGTCTTCAAGAGGGGCCCGGGAGATAAGGGGGAAGAATCAAGTCAACTAAGTCCTTAAGTAGCCAGCTATAGCGATTTCCCAAATGGCTCCCCACCTTGAGCTCCATCCATCATAGCAGAGCACTCAACCTAAAGGCAGACTGTATGACGTCAGAGGTAGGGGAGGTGGGGGTAGGGTGGCAATGGGAGGCTGCCGGAGGCTTTGGTGGCTTTATAGCTCTAAGCGCTTCAGGCAGCAAAGTGACTGGCTGCAGGCCACACCCAAACTGGAGGCCAAGATTGGTTCAACCCCAGGCCTGGGTCCACAGAAGCTCATCTCCTACAGGCAGGAAGGGGGAGATCTATCTTTGCCAAGGCCCTTTCCCTACATTCTAAGTGTGGTCATTAAGTGGGGCCGCCAGACAGGACCTTCTCACATCCCTTGTTGTTATCAGTGCCAATGGGAACTACTGAGGATTTCCTTATGGCAGGAATTGCAAACAACTTGTTTCTGAGGCCCCCACCGCCCACCCAGACTGGGTCCTCATGGTCAGTGCTACTGCTTACTGGGCTTAGTTATTTCTCTGAGCCTCAGTTTCTCACTTTGCTTAACGAAGGAGGGTCAATGAGCTGTAGGGCGATGAGAGTAAGGGGAGGGAAGAGACCATAAGGTCCGACCAACACCAGGAATACCTAGGTCCGCTATCTCCCGGAGAGGCTTGGTGAGAGGTAGCTCACCTGTGAGGCTGAAATCCGGGAGACCTCTTGCCGCCCGGTGAGGTCTGAAGACGAGACATTGGCAGGCGCACCTCTGTGGAGTCTCATGCTCACCTTCCTCTCCCGGTCGGCCCGTGAGATTGCTCTGGGAGAAGTATTGCCTGGAGGGAGGGCAGGAGCCAACCCTCAGTGTGGGCATAAGCAGTCCCCAAACCCTCCTGGGGCCCAGCCCAAGGCTCGAGGCCCCTACTGACCAGCCTGTTGGATGCGGGAGGCTGGGGTGGAAGCCACAGGCTCGGCTGCACTTCGGAGTCGGTTGGCAGTGGCCCCCGTAGGTGGGCCAGGGGGCAGGGCTCTGGTCGCGGACCCCCGCAACTGCCCCATCCTCTCTTCCCGTTCGTGTTCTCGTCGCTCCCGGTCTACGTCCTCGGGATTCCGGGCTGCACCCTATAAGAACGTGAGAGGAGATTCGCATCAGCCCTATGAGGATGCCGCACTGCAACCCAAAACCCTAGCAGGACAGAGCAAGGGAGGAGGTGTGGAGACCTTCACCTTGCTTCTTCCCATAGACCAAGAAGGCTTACCCTCTACCACAACGCAAGGAACCAAGCCGCCCAGCGCCTAGAAGACGGAAGTGCCAGAGGAGAAGCAGAGAGAGCTCAGCCTGACCAGGTTGGCATCTCCAGGACGACCAAAGGGACTTGGTCCTTCCAACCGGGCTCCCTGTGTTCCCAACCAAGCAGGAAAAGCATTCAGAGGCCCAACTAGCTGAGAGATAGACCACAGCCAGAGAAGAAAGGGCAGGTTCAGAGTCTCAACTCCAGTGACAGCAGAGCCAGTTCTCTGCCAAGGTCCCCTGGTGCCCAATCATAAGGCCACCTTTTCCTGGCTCCCAGATCTGCTACTCCTACTATGGAGTCACAGCCAGGAGACCTAGGGAGTCCATTAATGTTACCTGGAAGCCCAGGGGACGAAAGAAGCCAGGCTAGATGTTCCACGGAGCAAGAAGGCCCTCAGGCAAAGCTAGAGAAGGTGCCTTGAGCCCCCAAGGGCCTGTCCTCCAAGGTGCTACCCCGAGTACAAGAAGGGAGAAAGGACCAGAAAGCAATGCAGCGTGGGAACAGTGCCTGGCCAAGTTACCTAGCTGGTCCTGAGGCCGTCCACAGGGAAGGGCAGGGGGCTGGCGGGAGGGGGGCCGCATCTGTGGAGGAGAGAGCTACAGGCTGAGATGGGAGCCTGCTCACGGCCATGGGGTCTGGGCTCTGCAAACCCATGACTTTACAGGGACTAAGAAGCCCGGATGCTCTGGGCCATGGGGAAGGAGCTGTCTTCAGGGACCCCTGAAGGGAGTGGCTTGATTCAGAATGATGCCTCAGACCTACTGGGGTAGCCAAGCGCTCCTAACTCCTCATCTGGGCCCCTCTGAAGTGGAAATGTTGACATCTTTTGTCCTTACTTGACCTGGTCAGAGAACTTGTGACCTGGCTGGATTACACATCCGGTACAAAGCTGGGGCTAAACAAGGTCCTGCCACTGAGTCCCATTCTGTCCCTCAAAAGGACACTGTTCAGAGACCTGCCTTGGCCATTCCTAGTCCTCCACTCAGACACCAGGGCTTAGGACTGCCAGAGCTCCTCCTGCACACTGGCTGCCTGGTTCAGCCGGAACTCAGCCCAACCTGAGAGAAACAGGGGCTGTGGCACTCAAAGTCTCTCCTGTGGCAGCAATGACTTCAGTCTGAGGGTCGAGGAGGCTAAGAGGTTCACCTCAGGGTGCGGCCAAATGGATGGCTGGGGTCTCAGCAGCTCCAACAGGCTCAGGCCAGACATGGTCCCTCCCCCTGCTCCCGTCTACCCAACACGATGGACGCATCAAGAAATGGGCACCAGAGAGTTTTCATGGCCTTTATTTGTCCACAAGGAAACACAAAGTCAGTGGCAAAGTCACACGAGTGACTCTACACAGTGGCTCTACTGTGCAGTCGTCTGTCCTTGGCTGTGTGGTGTCTTCTCCCAGCTAGAACAGCCGCTGTTTTCTCAGAGAGACTTCCCAGGATCCAAGCCTCTGGAATTCCAGTCCCCTGGGGAGGCACAAGGAAGGTCATTCTAAGGTCAAGTGGCTCCTTCCAGTCTGTTGTTCTCTGTCTGTCCAGTTGAGCCCTGTCTGTCCAGTACTGGTGATGGCTTGCTTATTGCAGGGCAGGTGAGAAGGCCTGGTCTTGGGTTGATGGCTGTGAAAGCTTCTGATGTCTCCTGTAGATGTTCTTGATAATGGAGCTGGCCACGCAGTGACAGGGTCACACATGATAGAGACAATGGCTGTCCAGCTCTGAACTCTAGTGTCTGCCTCCAAGAGGACTTCAGGGAGAGATCAGGGACCAACAATGGGGCAGGGAGGGGACATCTGGCCAAGTTTGAGATTTTTGTCAGCTGGCCAGTCACACAAGGAGCACTGTGAGGAAGCCCCACAACAACTGTCCGCAGAACCTCCTGGAATAACAAATGTTCCCATTTGCCACGCTGGATGTAGCAGCAGCCACTTGTGGTCTTCTGAGCGCGATCTGGTGGATGACTGAGGAGCCAGAGTCCATTTCCAATTATTTCAGTGAATGAGAAAGTCAGCGCTACATGGCCAGAGGCTGCTAGAGTGGGCGGCACTGGTCTAGAGTACACAAAATCCATTCTTCAAGCTTCACTGAGAAGGGACGAGCCCATCCCCAAGCTGGATTCAGTTAATTTTCTGTAGCACGTGTCTGGAACCCAATGCTTTGAACCCCGTGTGATAAGAAGCGCTAGCCCCATGACCTTGCCTCCCAACATGCTCTGAGCTGGAAGGAGCCCCACTATCCACTTTTCACTCCAGCCCCAGAGATAAAAGGTTTATCCCCAAGGTCCTTGGCCTATGAGATTCCCTTAAAGAACAGGCCCAGGTCACTGACTAGGGCCCAGAGAGAAGAGGAGCCCAAAATCACTGTGCCCATCTTGGTGTCCAGAACACAAGGCCTATTTCATTCTTAACACTGCATGGAACGGGCCAAGGGCCACTCTGAAAAGAGAGGCACACGAGAACGAAGGGAAGGGAAGTGTTTAATGATCTCGGAATCAATACATAGGCCAATGACGAGGTCTCAATGGAGTAGGGTCCTGTGATGTGCCACCAAGCCCCTTCCAGGCAGCGGCATTGTCTCTTCTTCTGGCTTGTTCTAGTCGGTCCATTCCTGAGAATCCCACGCAGGGCCTTTTCTGTCACACCCTCTCCACTGAACAGCCACCTCTCTGGAACAGAGTATCACCCCCACCATCCCGCAGGATGTTTCCTCAAGCTTGGCTGAGATGGACCGAGATACCCCTGGCGGTGTCAGTACTGGGGCCCTGGAGTCCAGACCACAGGCCAGTATCTTTGGGGAGGCAGTGGCTCCACCTCCTCCACCGGCCTATCTGGGGGTCCTTGGGTGCCCAGGGGCGCCGGGCACCTGGAGAGGACAGAGAGAGCACAGCTGAGGCTAGGCCCTCATGCTCGCTGGCTAAGTTGCAAATCTTGGAAAGGCCAGGCAGGCTCTGGAAGGTCCTTACCAGTAAGTGGGCGAGTAAGTGGGTGAGTACGTGGGCCCAGCGCAAGGCCAAGGACGGGGGCAGGGTGACGCAAGAGCTTCGCTGTCTTGGGGCTGAGCCTGGCTCGAGGAAGCCCCCTTCTTCCAGAAGAGATGTGAAACAAGACATACAATTTCACAGATTCCGGGGCTTGAGGCATGATTGGTGAATGCTTCTCCCTAACCCACCCTGTGACCCTTAAAAGAGCGAGACAGAACAACTACCTAGTAAGACCCAGGGTCCTACAAACAGAAACAAAGTGGCCACTCTGACAGGGTCCAGGCTGGCCACGGAGGCCTCAGAAAGGGCGGCCACTTGGGATGCGCAGAAAAGTAGCAGGAAAGTGCAGACAGCTATCAGGGCAGCGGGGGGTCCGTCCAACACCACCCATGAACCACAGGTCCCCAAAAGGGACCAAAGGTCAGGCCAGGTTCTTTTCCACCTGGCGGGTGGTGGTGCCTTCCCTGGGCCCTGCCCCCTGTGGCGGCACACCCTGTCTAGGCCAAGCAGGCTGCAGACGAGGGGTTCCGGGACCCCCGCAAGTTCATCCACACTGTCCAGCTGGTACCTCCCATCTAATGGGAGCCCCGCCCCCCACCAGGTCACCCTGACCTTATGAGTCAGAGCGTGCCCTGTCCAGTCCCCCAAGCCCGCCTTGGCCTGCCGGTGACTCACGAATTTGAGCATGTTCCAGTCGAAGACGTAGTCGTAGGAGAAACCCTGCCGGTGAAAGAGGTTGCGGAAGAGCTGGCGCAGGTAGGAGTAGTCAGGCTTGTCGTCGAACCGCAGGGAGCGGCAGAAGTTGAGGTATGTTGAGAACTCAGCTGGTGGGACACAGGGACAGAGGAGGCCACTGTGAGGCTTGCTCTCCTGGGAGCCTCAGCAGCCACCACTGTCCTAGGCACCCACTGACCCTGCAGCAGCATCACTCTAAGAGGGGCAGGATGAAGGATGAATAGAGCACGGCCCGCTCTGAAGCAGCGGTGCTGTGGAGTGGGCACAGCTCGCCACCTGTCTGACCAAGCACTCTGCGGTCACAGCCGCCAGGTCAATAGCTGCCCTACACTCAAAGACTGTTTGTTCAAGAGCCTGGTGGGATGCAGTCCCATCATGACCTAAATTTCTACTTCTTCAGACATCCAGGCTGAGAGTGGACCTTCAGGGTTAGGCAAGAGATGGGGCTGGGGACACCGGGTATGTAAGAGCTGGGTGTGGAGTGTGGGGGTTCAGGTATCCCAGCTAGCTCCTAGGCAGAGAGACCCTAGTGAGAGACTGTCATACACACAGGTCAGGGGTAAGACCACGCCCCGAGTTGTGCCCATAGAAGGAAATGCCATGTCCGCCGATACTCACAGGGGTAGCCTTTGCAGAGGACCTCAATGGGCGTTGACATCTTCTTCTCACTGATACGTTCATACTTCTGACGTTTGGTGGCTGCTTTGAGACCCTGCCAGGGCAAGGAGCCCAGGTTGAAGTACATGAGCACGTAGCCCAAGCTCTCCAGGTCATCTCGACGGCTTTGCTCTGCACAGGCCAAGAGGTCAGGAGCCACAGGTCAGGAGGTCAAGGGTCAGTCAGGCTGCACTTCTTACTGTGTACCCTGCCCTCCCCTCCTCCATGCCCGCTGGCTCCAGAATGCTCTGTTATAACTGGTGCCCTGTTCTCCTCCTATTCTGGACTGCCTGAGGCAGAGCTTTCTTGTGTCTCTTCCAGCCAGTTTTTCCAGCCCGGGTGCTATTTCACTCAACATCTGTGTGTGGGCACCCACCACCACCCCCTTCAGTGGCCTGTTTTGTACACACTATAGCTTGAGACAGGGCTGGGGTCAAATCCCGCTCCGGAATTCATTAAGCTGCCTGCCCTTAAACAGCCATGCTAAACATCTGGGCTTGCATTTCTCATAGAGACAAATGAGGAAACACTGCCACCCACTCGAGTGGACTGCCAAGGTAGACAAAATATACACAGATCTGCTTATGAAAGGGTCCATACGGAACAAGTCCAGACCCGGGCCTGACAGGGTGGGGAGCTTCTCAGTAAGGCGCCCCAGAAGAACCCCTAGGGTCACCGACCCAGGTAGGAGCATAAGCTCATCCTGGCCAGCAGCCACAGCATTCTTGCTCATGCCCAGCCCACTCACCGATGCCCAGGTGAGTGTTGATGGAGGCATAGCGGGCAGTGCCAGTCAGGTTCTTGTTTTCCCGGTAGGGGATATGCTGGTGGGTGCGGGCATCACGGTATTTCTTGGCCAGGCCGAAGTCAATGATGTAGACCAAGTTGCCTTTCTTCCCCAGGCCCATGAGGAAGTTGTCCGGCTTCACGTCCCGGTGGATGAAGTTCTTGGAGTGGATGTACTCGATGCGGCTGATCTGGGGGAGGTGGAGACAGCAGTCACTCCACACAGAGTTGCCATATTACACAAGGCCCCTTGCTCTGGCCCGGGGGAGAGATCTAGCCTCAGTATGAAGTGTGGTTTCAAGGGGTGGCCAGGCCTCCCCAAGCTATGAGAATGGACTTTGAAGGAGCTCACAAAACATGTTGAGAGGCAGAAAGCAAGATCAAGGGGTAGGCAGAGGGCTGGAGAGATGGCTCAGTTAGGCTCACAACAAAAATATAAGGGGTGGACAGAAAGGCAGTCCCATCCCATGGAGCCCGACACGGCTTGACCCTCACAGGCCTGAAGCTAGAGACAGTCAACAGGCATGGGGGCAGGGTCAGAGAGATGGGGCACGACAGGACTGTCACTGGGCTTCCAAACACCATCAAGAGTCAGGCAGACACACAGCCCACTTTCCTTTTTGATATATATATTTTTTGTTTGTTTGTTTGTTTGTTTAAGTTTTTCGAGACAGGGTTTCCCTGTAGCTTTAGAGCCTGTCCTGGAACTAATTCTTGTAGACCAGGCTGGCCTCGAACTCACAGAGATCCGCCTGCCTCTGCCTCCTGAGTGCTGGGATTAAAGGCGTGTGCCACCACTGCCCGGCGAGACAGAATTTTTAGGAGCTCAAATGAACAAGCAGGCATGTGACAGAGCTCTGGCAGATTATGCTGACTCGGGTCTCATGTCTTGGCAGCTGAAGACCTCAAGGATGGTTTTGGGTTTCGTCCTGCAGCAAGATCTACCCCTTCCATGAGAGAGGCAAAATTCTAAGGTTTCTTATTTATTTATCTACCTGTGGGTACGGATTCCAGGATATGCATGTGGAGAACACCTGGGAGTCAGTTCTCCTCTCTACCACGCCCCAGGGATCAAACTCAGGCTACCAGGTGTGGCAACAAGTATCTTCACGTCAGAGGCATCTTGTCAGCCCCAAGGCTAATATAAGCTAATATAGTTCTTTGCACACATGTGCACAGGCTTACATGTCTGTGTGAGTTTTAGTGAATTTTGTTTGTTTTCTCCACACAGGGTTTCTCACTGCAGCCATGACTGTCCTGAAACTTGCCTGTAGTCCAGGCTGGCCTCGAACTCACAGAAATCTGTCTGGCCTCTGCCTTCCCAATGCTGGGATTAAAGGCATGTGCCACTACTACCCAGCTAGATTTTTTTTTTTTTTTAATAGCACTGTCAATTGAAGGCAGGGTCTCTTGAGTACCAGACAAGAGCTCCATCACTGAACTGCATCCCCAGCTCTGGTGTTCATCTTCAAGAAAGTCTTACTATGCATCACAGGCTGGCTCTAAAGCCCTGGCAAACCTCCAGCCTCAGGCTCCTGAGAACTGGCATTACTGACATAAGCCATTACACCCCAATTCTGGATTTGGATTTTATTGTTTTTTGTTTTGTTGTTGTTGTTGTTGTTTGTTTTTAGGGATAGGTTTTTCACACTGCGGTCAAGACCAGCCTTGATCTTACAGTAATTCTCCCGAGTACTGGGAAAACAGGCATGAGCCACCGCACCCAGATTCTGGCTTTCTTTTTCTTTTCTTTTTTAAATGAAACAAAGTCAGTTCATTAAAAAGCGGTTTTATGGGGCTGGCAAGATGGTTCAGCAGTTAAGAGCACATATCACTCTTCCAGGCAACGTGAGTTCAGTTCCCAGCACCCACATCAGTTAGCTCACAACAGCCTGCACCTTTAGCTCCAGGAGAGCTGACACCTCTGCTTTTTGAGACCGAGTTTCTCTGTGTGGTCCTGGCTGTTTTGGAAGGGTGGCCTCAACAGAAATCCACCTGACTCTGCTTCCCAAGTGCTGGAATTAAAGGTGTGACCCAGCTTTTAAAATAAATCTTAAAAATAAAGTAAGAAGCAACCAAAGAAGATGCCTAGTGTCAAACTTTATAGCCCATCCCTTGACATGCAAGCACTCCCATGAATACACAAGCACGTACACACAAGGGCACACACACGTACCACACACATGTACACCAAGAAGCAGTTTTAACACAAACTTAAGCAGGGCCCTAACAGAAATAGGGGTGCTCAGAGAAGGGGGCTGTGCTGGTTAGTTTATGCCAGCTTGACACAAGCTAAGATCGAAAGAGAGGAGGGAGCCTCAACTGAGAAAACACTTCCGTAAGACTGGGCTGTATGCAGGCATGTGGGGCCTTTTCTTAATTAGTGATGGATGGGGGAGGGACCAACCCATAGTGGGCGGTGCCACCCCTGAGCTGGTGGTCCTGGGTTCTACAAGAAAGGAGGCTGAGCAAGCCATAAGGAACAAACCAGTAAGCAGCATCCTCCATGGCCTCTGCATCAGCTCCTGCCTCCAGGTTCCCGTACAGTTTGAATTCAGGGGATTCAATCAGGCTATGTAAACCAAATAAAACCTTCCCTCCCCAGCTTGCAATAGTAAGCTAACAAGGGAGAGTGGTTTGGTTTTACTTTTTGTCAAGGCTTTCCTCTGTGCACCATCAAGGGCTACAGGACCTGGCCCCTGCTCTGCCCCCCTCCCACCCCTGCCCTGCCCAGCACCCCACTTAATCTCCATGATAACCTGGCAGAGGGAAAACCAGGTGGCTGAAGCCTGGGACTTAGTCAGGTGAGGCACTGGGACAGAGCTTGACAATCACACAGGGCAGCAGCCGAAGCACACCAGGAGGGTGACTCAGCAGCTTTGGGGTTTACATGAGAAATGTCTTCCTGCCACCATTACCTTCCCTACCACTATGGACTCCTTCTCGGAAACCTTAAGCCCAAATCAATTCTTTCTTCTCTAAGTTGTTGTGGGTCACATGTTTTTGTTTGTTTTGTTTTTCGAGACAGGGTTTCTCTGTGTAGCCCTTGCTGTCATAGAACTTGTTCTGTAGACCACGCTGACCTAAGCCTCCCGAGGGCTTGGACTAAAGATGTGCGCCATTGCTGCCACCCGGACTGGTCACACGTTTGATCACAGTGACAGAGAAGTAATTAATACATCAGGCTTGGAGTTGAGCCTGGACTCTACCTGTCCACGAGACACCCTCGGGGTTCCACAATGGGTACTGTATCCCCTGGTCCCTAGAACAGGCTCAACCTCTAGAGGTAGGCTGCGGGGCTGGCATGGAGGAGCCACTGACACAATGGCTGAGAGAGCAGGGGCTTGTCACTCTGCTCATACAGCGGGAAAGTCACCTGGACAACAGGAGGACTGGGGACTCACCATCTGGTCGGCCAGCAGCAGCACCGTCTTGAGGCTGAACTTCCGGGAGCAGAAGTTGAAGAGGTCCTCGAGACTGGGCCCCAGCAGCTCCATGACCATCACATTGTAGTCACCCTCGGCCCCGCACCATTTGATGGACGGGATGCCCACTGCGTCCAGGGAAAAGAGGCATGACCAGGGTCCCTCTGCATCATCTTCTCTCTGCTCTACACCAGGACCAGCCTCTTCCACCCTGTCTGTACTGCCCCCCCCACACTCCCACCCCAGCCTCCCTCCTCTCCCTCTGCACCATCCCCCATCTCCTAGCCCATCCCTGCATCACCTCCTCCCTGCATCATCTTGTAGAACTTGCTCTCGATGTGGAGCTGCGGGTGCTTCGTTTTCACACATTCGAGCTTGATGGCTACTTCCTCACCAGAAGCAATGTTGGCACCTGCCCGTGTGAGAGGAGGCAAAGGACCAGGGTCAATCTCAAGCGGCCACGTGGTCCTTACCCAGTCAGTGACTCGGGTCTGAGGCTGCCTGGGTATCAGTAATACTCAGTGAGGCTGAGAAGAAGCCAGGTCAGAGGAACCAGGGAGGGTGTGGGAGGGGAACCACTGGGTACTCTTGAGCGGTGTATGGGAAGTATATGGAAGGGAAGGAGGTGACACACCCTAGCCTGCTTGGAGGACACAGGTCAGGTGCATCCAGACAGACCGACACCTGTGGGGGTGTCACGGGATGGATGATGACACACAAAGGCTTGTAATTCACCAGGGAACAGAACCTGATCCTAGAGCTAGGCAGGTCAGTGGGTGTGTCTGGGCTGAAGGGTTACAGAGGAGGGGTGAAGAGCCCAGTGAGGACTGTCGGGGCCAGGGATGACCCACAACAACTCCGAGTAGAAGGAAGCTCAATAAGGAACAGGCTTAATAACCAACCCCTCACTCTACATCAACGGCAGCCCCCACACTGGACCCCAGCACCTTCTCTCTTAAGGTTCTCAACCCCATTATACAGATGAGAAAACAGACTCAGCCGAGGCCACGCGGCTAGCTGGAGAAACGGAGAGTGAATCTCGTTCTCCTGGCTTCTGAGTCTAGGCACGAGGGTCCTGTCTGTATCACTGCCTCTCCCCACCCCTCCTAGCTTCTCACAGCTGCAACAAGAGCTCTACCTAGGGAATATGCTCCAAGGCCTAGCTCTCAGCCGGAAGCTGTGGCTCAAGAAGTCACAAGATAATCTGGACATGGTGGCTCACATCCAAAATCCCAACGCTGAGGAGGCTGAAGCAAGAGAACCTCCTGAGTTCAAAGTCAGCTTGGTTTACAAAGGAGTTTCAGGCCAGCCTGGGCTACACAATGGTTTCTAGCCTGGGCTACAGAGTGAGACCACGTTTGGAAGGGAGGGAGGGATCATTGTAAAACTTGAGAGAACTGTAGTTACTAAGAGGCCTGTGGAGGAGAAGACAGGAGGGGGGAAGGAGGGGGTTAAAAGGCCAACTGGAGGCCGGAAGCAGATCTGCAGCTGCAGCAGGCTGGGAGCCAGAGGCAGTAGCTGTTCTTGGGAATGATGAACATTTATTATTAGCAGGAAGGGCCACCCAGCTCCCTACATAACCCAGGCTAGTCCCAAACCTGTGATCCCCCTGCCTCAGATGGAGACAACTGACTTCCACACATATGCCACAGTACTCGTGTGCCCCACACATGCACGCAAAACAAATTAAAATGCAGAAGCAAAACAATGACAATAAAACAAACACCTATATTAAAACTTTCTCAAAAAGAGAGAGAAAGGTGTATGGGGGTGGGGGAAGAGTTCTCAAGGAGATGGCCAGATGGCTCAGGAGGAAAAGGTGATTGCTGCCAAGCCTGATGATCTGAGTTCAATTCCCAGAACCTACACAGAAGGAAAGAACTACTTCAAAAAGTTGTCCTCCAATCCCCATGCAAACAAGCTCACATACACAAAGATAAGGGGGGAAAACGTCAAAGGTTCCCTCTCCTTCAAAACATTCAGAACCCCTTCACACTGGCCAAAGCACCAGAAATAAGGCTGAAAGAAAAACATACAACTCTTATCACAGGCAAACAGCTAATGGACAGGAAGGACCCAAGGGGAAACGGAATGGAGGGCTGGGGACTGACAGTGTCCGTGGAGAGTGCAGCCACAGTCCCACCACGCTGAAATTCCTCTCCTCCCTGCACAGCTGGAAGTGACCTCTACTTTAGGAGGCTGGCTGATGAAATTTTCTTAAAGATTGTAATTTTTGCCATGTGAGGTGTGGTGGTGCACACCTTCAACCCAGTACTCTCGATATGAGGCAGAAGATCTCTGTGAGTTGAGGCCAGCCTGGTCGACATTGCAAGTTCCAGGCCAGTCAAAGCTACATAGGGAGACTAGCCTCAAAATAAATAAATAAATAAATAAATAAATAAATAAATAAATAAATAAAATTATATGTACGTGTGTTGGGGGGGTGGCATATGAACTTGAGTACAGGCGCCCACAGAGGTCAGAGCATTGCATTACAGTTCCTTGAAGCTGGAATCACATGCAGCTGTGAGCCACCAACCGTGAGTGCTGGGAACGAGAGCCAAACTCAGGTATTCTGCAAGAGCAGTATGAACTCTTTTTCTTTTCTTTTCTCTTTTCTAGACAAGGTTTCTCTGTGTAGCCCTGGCTGTCCCAGAAGTTCCTCTGTAGACCAGACTGGCCCTGAAATCAGAGATCCGCCTGCCTGTGCCTTTTGAGGGCTAGGATTAGAGGCACGCTTGATTATTTTTCTTTTGAAAGGCAGGGTCTCACCATGTAGCCTGCCTGGCCAGGAACTCAGAGATGCACCCACCTCTGCCTCTCCAGTGCTCAGCCAGGGCGTACACAGCCGCAGAGCCAACTCTCCGGCCCCATAAGCCAGCATCCTCGTATGGTGGAAAGAGCCTGGGCAAGCTGTCCACTGCCGAGTGTCTGCAGCAACCAAGAGCTTGGAAACCACCCACATGTCCGTCTTTCAGGACTGGCTAAATAAAGAACAGCTGATCCATAACAGAGCACAATGGGGAGAGGAGGAAGCGCCCTCCAAGGGGCAGAGCGAGGACTCCAAGATAGAGGAAGCGAACACGCAAAGCCCAGACCGCGTAGTCTGCGCTTTCAGACAGGGAAGCATCTGTGCTGGGCTGCAGTCACATGAAGGAAAACAAGAATGGCTGATGGGGTGGGGGGCGGGGGAACTTCACGGTCACCCTCTCGTGTGTTACTTCTTGTGTGCTTCCATTGAAATGAAACAGGTAAACTCTGAGACGCAGTCATGAGCGCTGAGGAACTATTTTGATGTCCACAGGGTTGTACACGCCACTGCACAGTCAATCTGAGAAAGAATCCAACACAGCCTCAAATGCCACGCCCTTTAGCGATCTGCCAATGATCTGCTGATGTCCTTGCTGGGGTGCCTAGTGACCACCTAGCTACTTTCTGCGCGTGGACTTGCCTATTCTGAGCCCTTCAATGAAATGAAAGCAGCCATTATGCGGTCTTCGGTTTCCTTTCATGCACACATTATTCCGGTTTTTGCATACGTACTTGAATTTCTGAGCTCCATAAAAGAAAAACTGATTAGATGACTAAATCTAGGGAGCAACTGGAGACTCGTTTGCAAACTACTTTTAGAAATTTAATCATATCATCACTATCATTATTATTTGTGTGTGTGTGCATGCATTTATGCGTACATCTATGTGGAAGCCGGAGGCTGGTGTTGGGAGTGTTCCTCCATTGCTTATTTTTGAAGACAGAGTGGCTGAAGAGATGGCTCAGCAGTTAAGAGCACTGGCTGCTATACCGGAAGACACTGATTCTGTTCGCAGCACCGACACGGCAGCTCACAATCATTGCTAACTCCAATTCCAGGGGATCTGATATCCTCTCTGGCCTCCACCAGCACTGCAACAGAGTGCACGGAAAACACCCATACACACAAAATAAAGATAAGTAAGACTTTGAGACAGGGACTCTCACTGAACTTGGAGCTTGTCCCATCAGTTAGGTTGGCTAATCAGCAAGCCCCAGGAATCCCCCTCTCAGCCTCTGCCTCCTAGTGCTGGGATTAAAGGCATGCCTACCACTGTGTGCGAAGAGGGGTCACAGAGGGGTCACTGTTGCTCAGGTTCTCACGCTTGCCAGGACCTCAAGCACTTCATTTTCCTTCAAGCTCCCCATAAAGTCCCTTAGACGCATCGGCAGTCATTCCATAGAGCCCAGTTTTCTGAGGGGCTATAAAGCTCCGGCACTAGAAGGGACCTAGGGTGACCTGGAGTCCTGTGGTCTTGCCATAGGCATCAAAAAGCAGAGAGTGTAGTGAGTGTGAGTGAGTGTGATGTTACACACTTGTAATCCAGGCACTTAGGAGGCTGAGAGTGGAGGATGGGAGATTGAAGCCAGTCTGGGCTACATATCAAGAGCCTGTCTGCCATAGTCAAGCTGTTGGATCAGGTCCTGAACCTGTCACCTGCTGACCACGGGACCTCAGTAGCACCCTCATCACCTGGTGTCATCATCACCACCATCACTATTATTAGTGTCTGTGCATGCACTGATGTGTGCATTAAGGGGAAGCCAGAGGCTGGTGCTGGGAGTTTCCCTTGATCGCTCTCCACCTTATTTCCAACACAGAGGGGCTGGAGAGATGGTGCAGATCTACTTCTGAGCCCAGGCGCCCCTCCTGCAAACTGTCAGCCAAACTGAGCTTGCCGGGCTGTCTAGGACACAGAGGCGCTCAGCAGAGGCCCAGTGCACAGCAAGCACTCCAAGGTGAGGGCTGCTGAGGAACAACCCACCCCAGCCAGAGATGGGACCAGGTGAGATTGGGGGGGGGGGGGGGGAAGGGCCAAGAGCTGCCCACACAGGAGCGGGAGCAGAGGAATAGGGACAACACAGCATTCTGGGTGAAGGAACATTTCCCCTAGAGTCGTGAGCTCCTAGGGTAGGGACAGCTGAGGGATTTGGTGCAGCGGGACCAGGGGCAGCTGAAAAGAATGACAGAGGTTGACAGGGGTGAGGGCTCAGACCTGAGGGGGCTAAGATCCCCAGCGGGAGGTCCCAGTTTCAACAGTTAGACAACTCTGTGCTGTCGGGGGTTTGGCAATACCCTTGACTTCTACCCAGTGGATGTCACCACTGTCCCCTCCCCCATGTTGTAATAACCAGAAATGTCTTCAGAATTTGCCAGATGCCCTCCAAGAGACTAAAGTCACTTCTCACTAAGAATCACCAGTGACAAAGGAAGCTTGAGGAGGGAAGGGAGCTCTGGGAGGTCACAGCAGGGTGGCCATGCCCTGGCAGAGGGCAGAGATGATCCCTACCAGCACTGGTGATTCAGCAGACACACAGGGAGCAGGGGAAGGGGCTTTTCATCCCCTGATGAACTCTGACACCCACTGCCCTGCCAGGGTCTACTGTTATCTTTATCTGACACAAGGAAAACCCTACACAAAGGTTGAATGACCATATAACATACAACTTCCAGGTTATGGACTGGGACCTAAGCTGTTAGGCAAAGCCTTCTGAACCCCCCCCCCCAACCACCACCACCACCAACACGATGACGGTTCCCTCTCCCACTGCCAGGCCTCCTGAACCCCAGACACAGGGCTCGTTTCCTCCCCCACTACCTTTGGCAGTCTGATTCCCATCAGGAGGCAGCCAGTCTTTTCTCTGACTTCCCTTAATCCTGCCAACCACTGAGCTATGGTTCAGAGAGGCTAAGTGACTGGCCTAGGCCAGACAGAACTGGCTGGAGCAGAGCCAGGATTTCAAATCTGTCCCAGGGCCTCTGCTTCTCCGTCCACTCCAGCTCCCAAGCACACTGGTTCATTGAAGCTGCTGACAGCAACCGAGCCAGGCTGTCCTGAAGCTCTGCTCACCTTCTGTGGGAGTGCGCTACAGACAACAGGGCAACCAGAGACAAGATGGCTGGGATGGGTGCCTCCGTGAGGGGGAAGGCTTGGAAGCCAGAAGAGAGATGACCTGCTTCCTGGCCCACAGTTCCACACAGCACCAAACGGAGAACTGATTAGTCCCCAAAACAATCTTGGACATAGACAAAGTGTGAGCCTGGTTGGCTCCAGATGGACTAGAAACCTAGAAAGAAGCTACAGAGAGTGGTGGGCAGCCCCTTTAGCTCACTATAGCCACCTACACAGACACCGAGACTGGGGGAGGGGTGTGCAGAGCACGTCCACCTTAGAACCAACAGCAGCAGCCACTCCAACTCCCATGTCAAAAGGTGGGGTGCTGGGCATGGGGGGGACACATGGTCAAGCTCTCCCCACCAGGGAGGCAGAGGCAGTCAGATTTCTGAATTCAAGGCCTGCCAGCCAGGACCACACAATGAGACCCTGTCTCAAGCAAATCTCAAGCAAAGGCCATCCCTATAGCCACCTGCTCTGTATCCCTTGCAGAGTTGAGGCACAGGGGTCTCCCCACCTTCTAACGGATCTAGAGAGTCCCCCAGGATGCACAGCTAACCTTAGACCCTAAAGGGAGGGGACTACGGATGGACATGGACAAGAAGGAGGGCCGAGGACCTCAGAACCTCTCCACAACGCTCTCATCCCAAGACCTCATTCCTCGAGGTCAATCCTGGAAAGCTAGATGTGGGCGCCTAGCCTGGCCCCACCTGTAGAGGCCATCTGGAGTCAGGCCCTGGCCCAACACCATGATGAGAATGTGGCCAGCACTCTGAACAAAGGGTGCCAGCAAGGCCAGTCATAAAGGTCCTTCGGCCACCACTGCTGCCACACAGGCAAGATGGGGTCTTGGGTGGTGCTGACATGAGGTGCTCACCACACACACCCCAACATAGGTGCACCCAGTCAAAGCTGAACAAAGGGAGAGCTCCCCTCCCCATAGGCCCCCAGAGGACTGAGATCCTTAGAAAGCATTGGCTCCCAGCAGAGCCGAAGGGGTGTGCAGCAGCATAAAGACCCAGGCCAGCACAGGCAAGGGGTTCACGCAGCGCAGCCCTACCTACTTATCTCGCGATCCCATCTCCCCTGGGGAAGTCAAGGCTGGCAGGGAACCAGAGTGCACAGCTGGCAGAGGGAAAGACCAAGGGTCAATTTATTCCAGAACAGAGAGACAAGAGTAAATCTGGGCCTGGCAGTTGGTGTAACAGAGGCGACACCACAGATAAACAGGAAGTCCTGCTCCCAGGGAGGTAGACCACAGGATGCAGGGACATGGGCCTTTCTGAGTGACCTTGGGCCGCACCTCTCCACCCACAGCTTCCAAGTATCTTCTGCAGAAGGGGGGTCAGGGTAGGGTATTGTCTAACAGCGGGTACCTCCTGATGTGTATCAAGAGCTGTACATGTGTGTGCGTGTGTGTGTGCATGCACCCAGGGTCCTCACACTCATGCCTGGTCACACAGTAAACGAGGATCACTGAAAACAGGAACCTGACCCGCCCAGTTCCCAACTCTCTCCTATCCTACCACAACGAGGCTTTTACAGGCTATGTCCCATCTCCTTGCTCTCTGCTTCTCTCAAGCCTTCACTGGATATGCACTGTGGATAGATCACATACGGGGCACTGGGGTAAGGGTCGGGGAGCACACACAGGCTCACACCAGCTCCTCCCAAAGGGAATGAGAGGGCCCAGAAACATCTTGATCTCACGTGACTTATTCTTTGGCCAGAGTTACCTCCCTAAACTGATAAGGCTTGGCCATTATCTCCTGGGTTCAAGCAATCTTCCTGCCTCAGCCCCCAGAGTAGCTGGGTCTTCAGGCTCATCCCACCACACCCCACAGAGAAACACCAAGTTGTTTGCAGGCATATTCATCTACCCGCCGCTAGGCACGACACTGTACCTCACAGTTGTATTCCACAATAGTGCCTGGTCACCCCGGGACACAGATGGGGAACACTGAGGTCCTGGGGCAGCTGCACATCCAGGTGTGTCTGCCTCCCATTCTGTCTTCTACCCTTGCACTCAGTAGAGCTGCGGTGTCAAGGCCACACCAGCCAGTTTTTCTGAGCAATCTCCAGCAGACAACTCAGCCATTCTGCCCCTTTGCCACCAGAAGTTCTGGGGCTGTCTTGAGTGTGCCAGTGTTCAGAAAGTGTGGGTACGAGCCAGGAAGGCCTGTACATCCCTGCCCATTGCTTCTGAGGCCTACTGAATGGAAGAATTCATACTTGAGGGGGACAGGGACTCTGAGCACTGGTGAAGAGAAACCCCAGAATGAACTAATTAGTGACCCCAGTGTCCTGACTTGTCCATTATCTTTGCCCAGGAAACAAGAGGCAGCTGGGTCCTACTCTTGAGGGCACAGGGGCAGCACCAAAGATGACCAAGGAGGCTTCCATCTCATTCTAGCAACCCCAAGACCCCCAACTCGATCTATGCAATTACCAAGCAAACTCTCCCCTGCAGGCCAACAACAGACTCAAAATGGCACAGGACAGGGCTAGGAAAGCAACACTGAAGGGGGATGGGGCTCATTTCTCCCTCCCTAGAGGCGGAGATGGCAGCAATCTGCTTAAAGACAGTAGGGCAAACTCAGATTTCCAAAAGGAAGCACATCCAGAAGACAGGGAGGGCCAGAGGGGTAAGACTCTCCCTGTGTCACTCCAGAACACCACATAGGAGGAGGAGGGGCCTGTACCTCCTGGGAGCTTCCCCAGGGGTCCATGATAGTAGCCGCCTTATCCATCTATGTCAGGACCCGAGGGGGAGAATGCCTATCCAGTCAGGGCTTTCCCACGCCCAGTGGAGACACAGGTCCGCTGCAGCTGGAGATCAGCTAAATATATCTCCTCTGCTATTGTGGTCTACTGTGCCTGTCCAGCTGTGAGAGGCATCCCCAGAACACCTGAGCCTCCTGGATCTGGGGTTACCCTGGAGGCTTACAAGCCATGCCACATGACCAGAGCAAAGTTCTGCCCCCAGATCACAAAATCCCAGGTTCTCCCCTCCTCCTCCTCATCCCCATCCCCAGAGCTGTCTCCAGGGCCACAGGCAGAGAGGCCCAGTTACTTACCCAAGTAGATGTCTCCAAAGGACCCGCTGCCGATCTTTCGGCCCAGGCGGTACTTATTCCCCACGCGCAGCTCCATGCTTCACCCTTGGTGCAGAAGCAGAAACAGGTCAGAGACGGGACCTCGGACACCCCCACCGGAGGCTGGCATTCTCCCTCCCACTGTCTGGGAAGCAATCTGGCTTCACTTCGCTCAAGGGCAGTCAGGTGTCAGCCAGGTGTCAGGGAGCCCTCATGCCCACACACCTGGGCACGGCTGAGGCCGGTTTAGAACAGGCTTCACTTAGACCAGAAAAGGTGGAATCAGAGCCAAGGCCCAGGAAGAGAAGGCTAAGGGTACCCTCCAGCATGAGCGTCCTCGGGGGAAGCTGGTTGCCACGGGCAAAGGCCTGAAGCAACACCAAGGACAGAGGGGGTAACAGGGAAGAGCCAGGAGACCCAAGTCTTGAGTCTTGAGCTCAGCAGGGAATCTCCACCAGCCCTAACAGGCTAAAGGCCAAAAGTCTTCTCCAAGGTGCCTTATCTGCATGCACTCCAGAGGCAACTAAAGAACCCCAGGGAGGCCCTGTGCCCCAGAAATAGAAGGAACAGGGTCCATGGGGGCAAACCATCCTAAAATGTACTACAGCCACCACCACCAAGTTCCAACCTCCAGGGAAGGAAAGAAAAAGGGAAGGGAAGGGGCCCTAAGAGCACTATGAGACTCCTGAGGTCACAGGGTACCCACCTCAATCCCTGCCCCCGGGCTGCTAGACTTGCACAGGGCTAGGCTGGCCTGTTCCAGTAGGCTCCACGTGAGAGGGTCTGATCCCCACTCCTAAAGGGAAGGCCATGGTCCCTCATAATGCCTCCTGGGTTCTACTCAGGATGCAGGGAACAATTTCTAGGCCTCTCTGCACGCATCTCTTTGGGCAGGTTCTCAGGCAAGCTTCCTTGAAGACAAGGAGAGAGGGTCTCCTGGAGAGGCCCCCGGTACAGCGAGATCTGAAGTCACTTGTCCCACAGGACTGATCTGAGTAGCCTCCCTCCTTCCTGAGATAGTTGGATGTCTCAAGCCTGTAGATAACAGGGACTGGGCCTGGTGGCAGGGCCCCTCTGTACTGGCCTGGTAGAGGTCTGGGTACATTCCAGGCCAAGAAAAGGGAAGACTCAAAGACTGGTGGCAGTTTGGGCTACTGGAAGATGGGAAGGCAGAGATGGGTAAACTATGCAATGGGGAGAAAGGGTCTCTGAAACCTCGGTTGTTTACAAATGAGTTAAAGTGAGCAAACAAGGAGACTCCTTTTGCAGATGGGAACCCAAGCCTGGAGGGGCCTTGCTACCACCCAGCAGCAAGCCAATGGTAGAATCTCACCTAGGACCAAACGGGTCAGGCTAGCCTACCTGGTGGCCACCTACCTAGAACTTATTTCACTCCAGGCTTGAGAAGTAAACCTGGAAGGTGAGATAGTAGCTGTGCAAGCTAGCTCGAGGGGATGGGGGGGGGGTACCCCTTCCCTGTGCCAAGCCTACCCCCAGCTGCCAGGCCTGGAAGGAAGCCGGGAGAGACTCACTAGGGCTCCTTAATCAGCCTAAGAGCCAAGAGGTCCACGCCAGGAGAGGCACCCCAGTCCAGTACTAGCTCCCAGAGAGCCACTACAGTCCTTATACCGGGCACAAGGAAGTGGCTGTCACTGGGTGACAGCCAAACTCTGAACTGTCCATCAAGGGCCTTTGCCCACATGGCTGGCCTGGCCCCAGCTGAGTTGCCCTGGTTGCCAACAGCAAGTACTGCACATGTGCAGAAAACCCACCAGCCCGGCACCACGGGTCCACACGCGGTCCAGCTTCTTTCCTAAGTGCACCCGCCAAGGAAGACGGGAGCAGAGGCTCACACTCGTGATCCCTACGGGAAAGGAGGGGGGGCTGGGTGTGTACACACAAACACCCCCCCCCCCAGCCGGGTTTCCACCAACGCCAACTCAGAGACCACACATGGCAGCCGGGAAAGCCACAGGTTAGGAAAGGAACATAAATATACTGCATCCTATATTACATAAATACCCACGCCAGGTTATATAAATACCAGTGCCCTCTGTCTGGGTGTCTTACATAAATACACCGCACATGACCCCCCCAGCCCCTCTCTGCTCATGGCTGTCTACACAGATGGGGAGGGGGCTACAAACCACCAACGCTGCAGGACCCCACCAACGTCAGGGTCTCCCTACCCTAGAGACCCAGAGCCCTAGAGAGTGTCTAGCCTGTCCCAGCCCTCTTCCACTTAAAAGGGGGCTTCTTCAGACAATCAGAGTAGCTTTCCAATTCTTCACTCCCTCTCCCCTACGGGAGGGATGGGACGGGGGGGTGGGTAAACAAAGTTTAAAAAAAAAAGGGGGTGGTCAAGAGGAGTCAAGACTTCTCAGCTGGTTAGAAAAATTACAAACTACAACCAGACGGGCACATAAGCAGTCCTCCCCCCTCTCCACACACACACACCACCCACCTTCCCCAGGGCCGAGACCCTGGTTAATGAACCACTAAAATAAAAACTGAAGGAATACCCTAAACCTGGGAAAGCCGTCCCAAACACAGTATTCATCGGAACTGTACCCCTTTCTCTCGCTCCAGAACCCCTTCCCAGGGGGAGGTTATGCCAAGAAAATATGTGGGAAAACTCTGGGCAAAGTAGGGGGAGGGGGCTGGCCTAAGTCGGAGCCCTGGCTCTGAGGCGCCCAGGCACCCAGCTTCACAGAGGCTTGCAGCACAAGGCTCTCACACTGCAAAGAGAATCCAGGCGATAAATAATCCCCTCCCTTCTTCTCGCCACAAAGGAAAACAAAGCCGGTGGCCTGGGTGACCACGCACCCCATCACTTAGGACCGCCGGGCGCCCCCACCCTACACGCAAACGGCCTCGCTGACCCGGAGCCCAGGGCACAGAGGAGGGACCGTGGCCAGCCCGGAACCCACGCGCCCCCGGGACCTCGGCCAGGCCCCTGCCGCAGGTCCCCCACCGCCCCAGCCCGGGGCCGCCTCGGTGCAGCCGGCGGCCTGCAAAGCGCCCGTCCCCTCCGCGTCCCCGGCCGCGCCTTTGTCCTCACGGGCGGCGCCCCCAGCCCAGCGCGGACGCGCGTGTCCGCCCCGCGCTCGCGCAAAAAGAAAACACAAAGAGGCGGAGGGAGCCCCGCTTCCCCGGCCCCCGATGCTCACCGCGCCGGGGCGGCCCGCCGGGGCGGATGACAGAGGATTCGCGGGGCCGCGGGCGCGCCAGCCTCTCCCCGGCCCGCTGCGCTGCGCTCGGCCCGGCCGGGCTCAGGCTCCGCGCTCCACCGCCGCCGCCTCCCGCCGCCCGCCCCCGCCGCCGGCTCGCGCGCTCCCGAGCCGCGCGCGCGTCCCCGCGGCACCCATTGAGCCCCGGGCCCGCCCGCTGATGTCATTCCCCCCTCCCGCCGCCGCCCCGGAGGATTTAAAGGGCCCGCGACCCCCGGGAGCGCGTGCTGACGCTGCCACCCTGAATGAGAGGGCACACAAAACTCGAATTTCCTATACTCCAGCCTTTTTGCCCTATCTCCAGCCAAAGCTGCAGGCTCCCGGGAGGACTGGCCAACATGCCTGGCACTGCAAAAAAGAGAATTGGGGGCTCGAAGAACACTGGCCAGGAGCTTTGGGGCTAGGCATGGAGGGGCGTGGACAAGGGCCAGGGAGGTAGCCAAAGAAAACTCGGGCAGACCCCTTTCTTTGCTCTGTTCTTTCTGACGCTCAGCTCCACTGTGGCAGACCCTCAGATCCCAAAATAGTCTCACCCTTTGAGTCCCCTGCCCTCACCAAGAACTCACATGCGAGAGGTGCTCGTTCAGCCATGTCATTCCCCCAGACAAGGCCTGGGTTTCATTAACAGCAAATGAGGAAGAAAGACTGTATCCTCCTCAGGTCACGGGAGAGTTAATGAAGGCTTCCCACCAGCTTCCAGCACAGCCATGAAAGGTCCCAGCGCAAGGCTATTAAAATGATATTTACACTGGGTCACGCAAAGCCCCAAATTATGACACACCTACATTCTCTCACAAGGAACTGTGTGACCACCTCCTCCCATCCCGGAAACGCATCTCTGAAAGAGAGTCACTTCATAATAACAGCATCTTCTCCCCAAGGCTGAGGGACTTAATCAGATGCTCCCCAAATTGCTAGGAGCCCTACAGACCAGGTCCTTTCACAGGACACAATACTGTGCCCAGGCCCACACAGTCTAGCAAGATGGCCATGGTCTTCTGGTGGTCCAGGGGATGCTGACCCAAGAGGAAAGTGAGAAGGAGCTGCCTCCAGAAGGCATCTGTGATGGTAAACTGGGCACTTGCTCTCTGTACCACCTTTGTCCAGGCAGGGATGCTCAGCCAGATGGTGGGTTGAACTTGGGCCGGCATGGTGCTTCTTGGCGTCGTTTTTTCTCAGTTGATTCCCCATTTGGCAGATTTTGTATTACAGGCCACATTCCTGACTTCTCTGAAACCCTTGGCCCTTCTGAGCACAAATCCTCAGGAGAGGCAGCTGGTCTGGGTAGCAGTCAGAGCCCAGGCACTGGGGCCCTGGCAAGACTGAACAGAACCCAGCACACACCAGTGTCCTCCTGTCTTTACCACCCCCAAACCTTCCAACCTGGGCCCAGTTTCCAAAAGTGGACCTGCTCTCCAGCGCCAGGAGAGGCACCTAGCTCATTTAACCCTCTCCTCTCCAGTGAGGACAACAGACGTTCCTTCTAGGGCTTCCAGAAAGGGAATTGGAGGCTCCTTAGTGCTCACTCAACAGCACAGGTCAGCCTGTCTGGAGACTGGAACCCATCCAGATCTGCTTAAAGCCGCTCTCCTCACTTCCTGGACATCATGCGCCCTTTGGAACAAGGCTTCTGTCTGCACTTCACTGCCCCGGCTTCCCCCTTAGTCCTGCCACTTGCTCTCCATTCCAAGACCTGCAGTCTCTCCCTGGCCCACACCTCCCACTATGGAACCTCTGGTGGGTGTCCAGGCATAGCTAATCTTGAGAGCCCCTAGTTCCAACAAACACCCCAGACCTGCTGAGGGGTTCAGGGTAGCTGGACCCTCCTAGATTCCCTCTCGGATCTGCCCCCCTCGTAAGGATGCCCCCCCCCCAGTTGTCGCTGCCTGATCCTCTTCCTTCCTACACCCCCATAAGTCCAAGCTATGAGTCCTTCCCAGAGCTCTGCAGCTGAGCTCTGAGGGGAGACAGCCGTGTGACGCAAAAGCTAGCAGTGGAAAGGGAAGGAAGGGAGTCTGCTCCCAACAGAGAGCCTGCCTCATTCTAGCAGCCAAGAGCCTACCTTCAGTTTACTCTCATTGCTTCTCAAAGATCCCCACCTCTTAACTTCCAAGTCCAACGGTATAGGCTGATGGCCATCCCTTGGCACCTTCCACTCACCCACAGATGCAAGCAGACAAGCCCCAGCTCGCCAGGGGACACACTAGCTTCTCACAGTTCTGTTTCTCGGGAGCAACAGCTTTCCCCACTCCTTTCCAAACTGGACATTTGCACTCTCTTAATCTCACACCGCCTCGGGACCACTGGGCACTCCCAAACGCTGGGCCTGGGGCTCAGGCATAGCCCCGGTCATACAGCACAAGGCAGATGAGACCAGGACCTCACAGAGGAGCTGGATTCTTGACTGTGGACATTCTGGCTTACTAAGTGTTCAGGATAGTCCTAAAAATGACTTTCCCCTGCATGTCCCTGCCTGCAGCATTCTTGACTTTGGTTCCTCTGTTACCCTGGCCATTCAACTGCCTGGCACGATTTCCTGAGAGCCCTACCCTCACCCATGCACTTCCCTGAGGCTCCATGCTCAGTCATTTCAAGAAAGGGTTTCCCTGTCTCCTCATTTAAGATTCTATTGCTGGCCTGGCAAGGTGGCATAAAGTGCTTGCCCCTCGGAAAGCCCAAGGACTCCAAGTTTGATCCTCAGAGCCCACGCTAAGATGGGAGAGAAGGGATTTCATAGGGTCGTCCTCTGACCTCCCCATGGACTCTGTGGCATGTATGTAGTAGTACCCCCACCCCACACATCATCCAACATAACCTGGACCCTAGACCCCGTGGGATTAGCGTCTCTCCTGCACCCCACTGCCCACTGACACTCACTCTGTAGCCTACTCTGGGTGCTGCCTGTGTTGTTGTTCATCTCGGTCTCCCACCTAGAGGATTAAGGTACATGGAAGCAGGGAATCAATGCTATTTTGGGTTCTGCTATGTCGTGAATATCTATAACAGTGTCTGGCACCTGGGAGGCATTGAACAAACAGCTGATGATTGAACGGACGCTGAGGAGGTCTCTGCCCTCCCTCTTTCAACCAAACACGAAGGGCTGGTGCCCTGGTTCCAGGACCTAGCGACAGACCACACTGTCAGTTCCGACTCAGGAAACACTCGCACCCACCCTAGGAGGAGGCAGTCGCCCGCCGGAGCTTCCTCACCCAGGCTTGTGAAGGACTTGGCACCCTCCTTCTGGGTCATGCTCCAAGCTGTCCAGTAACAAAGCAACTCTGGAGTCGTGGAGATGGGACAGGCACCTGCAGCCGGGCCTGGTAACCTGCATCTGGTTCTTGAGACCCATGTGGTAGCAGGAGCAAGGTGTCCTCTGTCCTCCACAATCACACCATGTCACACACACATACCATACAACACACACACTAAATAAATGTAAATTTAAAACACCAAAGTGAATGGGGGAGACAGCTCAGCGGTTAAGGGCCACCAGAGCCATTTCTCCAGCCCTCATAGACATAAAATTTTTCAAATTAAAAATAAATATTTTAAGTTGAGTAGTGATGGCCCATGCCTTTGATTCTAGCACTCAGGAGGCAAAGGCAGGGGAATCTCAAAAGTTTGAGTCCAGCCTAGTCTACAGAGTTCCAGGACAGCCAGAACTACACAAAGAAACCCTGTCTCAAAAAAACCTAAATAATAAATAAATACTTTAAAACTCCGAACTACAGGGTCCCAGAGGCCCCTCTACTCTCCTCCACTGACTTCTACCCCTACAGACTGTTGTCTAAGGGAGGTAGGAACCTGGCTGGGCAGCTGGAAGCAAAGACCCTGTGACTTCAAGAGGCTGGGGTCTGGGAGTGGGCACAGTGAAGCAAGCTTGCCTAGCGCTTCAGCAGCAGAGGCTGGAGTGAGTTTGAAGCCAGCCTGAGCTACACAGCAAGCTCCAGACCAGTGAGGACTTCACCAGTGAGGACTTCTCAAACAGCAACAACAAAACCAAGAGCCTGGAGAGAAGATGGACCAGTAGTTAAGGGCTCATACTGCGCTAGTGGAAAGCCACGTCAAGTAGCCAAGATCACCTAACCCCAGCCAGGTAGTCTGGTGCCTCTTCTGGCCTCTGCGGGACCTGCACTTATATGCAGGCTATCCCCTCCCCCCACCTCAAGCCCCGCACATAATCAAAAGTAAGTGTATTTTAAAAAACAACAAACGAAGAAAGACTCTGTCTTCAAATGCTGATCTTCCTTCCACCTTCTACCAGGCAAGTTCCTTAAAGTCTCCCCACCTCTTCTATAAAGTGCTGATGACAAGGATCAAAAATCCACAAAAGCAGCCTGGCAGTAGTGGCACGTGCCTTTAATCCCAGCACTCAGGAGACAGAGACCTTTGGATCTGTGAGTTCAAGGCCAGCTTGGACTACAAAGCAAGTGCCAGGACAGCCAGGGCTACACAGAGAAACCCCTGTGTCTCAAAGAAACACCAACCAACCAACCAACCAAATAAATCCTAAAAAACAACTTTGCCCAAAAGTCCTGAGTAGTAATTACTTTTTCTGCTCTCAGGGGAGCTGACTTAAATCAGGACTCTGAGCTGGGTTTCCCTTTAGTGCTGTAAAGGACTTTAGTGGTCATGTCCTGCCTCCTTCATCTATCCCCTGAAGGAGCATCACCAGACCCATCACAGGTGGACCGGATTGGAAGGATGCAGGCCTTCTTGTACCCCCTTGTTGCCCATCTTGCTCTGAGTTTCTGAGGAACCAGCAGGGCAGCCCCTGGTTGTTTCCCCAGCCCCTGAGGTGTGTAGCTCACCCGTGTCTTGAAGACTTCCTCCAGGGACCCCCCAGCCTGTGGATGCTGCCCTTCTGCTCGGTGGGGTCCCAGCTCCCGCTCCTCAGATGTTCCTCAAGGCTCTGCCTACTTTTGTGTTCTTCCAGTCCGAGACTATGTCTTCCTTTTAACTCAGGCTGCTGGGTAATCCCTCAAGCTACCCAGGTCAAGCCCCTGGGACAGTGGCTCCTCTTTTAGAGCCGGGAAGTGGAACTGTAAGAGGCCTAGCTTTGAGAACCATCTGTCAGTGGAATCTTGCAAAATCCAGGTCTCTT